GTCGATGGTACGATTTTTCAAGACGCAACACAGTTTAATATCATTTGATATGTCGTCATCGTGGATGAGCGAATCACACGGATACAGTGTACTGGATGCAGTTGCTAAGCGATCAAACAAGACAATGCGTAATGTTAATCTAGAAGATTTCTTTGGATCTCATATGGCAATCTACAGATCTGCTGATTTTATTAGAGCTATGGTCAGATTCACTAACTTAGAAGAGGTTAAGATGAATTACAACTGTGTATCAAATGACTTGTTACTTGCCATGGGAGTGAGTAATGCTAACTGTTGGAAAATCTTGTATATTAAGTGTCGTAAAGACGAGCCTTACACACAAGTAATTAACGCTTCTACTTGGATAGTACTGCAACAATATTGTCCTCAATTATCTGTAACCATGTGTTTAGATGGTGTTTATAACTACGACACCGTGAAAAGAATTCTGAACCCAGCTATTCCGCTCAAACACTTAGAAATAACAGGAAGTAATCCGGAGGATACCTTCAAACCAGATGACACATTGCGCCACCTAGCGACGAATTTTGGTAAAACGTTAAAGAGCGTCCTCATGCAGGTGATTCCCGGCTCTTCACCAGTTGAAGGCGGGCTGCTGAAGCTGGTAAAAGATTGCAACAAACTTTCGCGGTTGGAAATAAGAGCAGGAATCGTCAACATCCATGTGATGGAGCAAGTGATGACGGCGATCAAGGATAGAGGAGAAAAACAACCTCCTTTTGCATTATTCAAACTGACCATTGACAATATGCCCATTGTCTATTATCAGGAAATGACCACAATACTTCAACGCAACACGTTTCCTGGATTTAACTTGAGATGCCGTTTGCAACAGTCAAATTAGTAAATCACGACTGAAAATGTCAAATCAAATGTTTTTTTTCTATTCACTACTAAAGCACTAATATTTGTAGGATTAAACTTTTTTTTACCAGACTTGTCTAAATACTTCATGATTTATTTACACAAAATGCCAGTTTCTGAGTAGTGTCCTTAGAATCAAGCAGCTTTGAACAAAAATAGAATCGCCAAACCAAGGACAACAAATTCCAGGCATAAATTCTTTACAACTATTGCCCCAAATATTTAATTTGGATGTTATTCTGAATTTTCTGTTTATATTGCAAAAACAAATTTTAACACAAAAATAGGAATGGGTTTTCACAAATCTGGAATAGCATGCACAACACAATTTGGGCTCGTTATAAGACTATGATGTTGAAACAAAACAGTTTACATAAATAAATTTGAACTTGTATGGATTGTGTGTTATAATGCATCATATACAATGTAAATTGATTTTCTGCTGAAAAATGAAGATAGATGGTTTGGAACAGCTAACATGCAGAGTACATTTTATATTTTGTACTTTGGCATTATTCTATCGGTAAACAATACAACTAAATTTTATAATTATTTGCACACGTTTGTTGATTGTTGTACTATGACAACCAATTTAGGAGTCGTGCGTGTAAGTATAAACACAGCAAACAAACCACTGGATTTTCCCAGTTCTGCAATTGGCCATTTTAATGTCAGAACTACTTTTTTTTTTCAACTATTAAGCACAACTATGAATATTGACCTGACCGAATTACAACTCAAAACAGCCACTAATATACATAATTGCAAATCTTCGGGTAGTTTGATTAAAGCGGGAGGGTTGTCACCTGTGTACACGCCGGAATTGAGTCGCAAGCGGCGATAACGCACACTAAAACGCAAAGGCTCATGGGTAGACGCTTGTTTGCAACAAACGATACGCTCTGGCCATCTGACGCGTGCACAGGTGAAGACTCCCCTGCTTTAATTTGGCAGAATTGTTCATAGTGTGCATTTATATAGTTACAAAAAACGCCATCACTTGTGCCCTAGCTACCCCACTACATGCTATTTTTTGTAAGGTGCTTTTTGATGACATTGTTAAGGAAATTAATTAATTTAAACTCATCTCATTACATTTTGTCCACTATTTCATAACATTTAACAGAAATTCACTAATAGATGTACTCACAAAATTTACATAAAACTGACTCCCTGACAAAATTAATACGACTGAAGGCATGATCGTCATGTCGTGTGTCACCAAAAGGTGAACACAAAACAAAGCAAATATGCCCTATAAGGCTGAGAAAAAAAAAATATCTGTTTTTCGTTTCCACATGCATCATTTTGAACTATGTGCCTCAGAACGATTTGCTTGTCTCAAATTTCCCTATTTTAGCTCAGCCGCCTCATTTTAAAATTTCCATGAAACTAGAAACAGAATTTTTTTTTTCCTGGCCTAACAGTATATTGATAAGTTTACCTGCTTCAACTTCACCATTATTCAATGACACTACTAGTCCTAATGTATTTTTGAAATTTAATGGCACAATAGAGTGAAGGAAATCCAAAATGAATACTTTCTATATCTACCCACTATGTATGAGTTTAACAAAGTTTGAATACATTTGACCACAGAGAGCCAGACAGAGGGCCAGACAGACAGACAGACAGACAGACAGACAGACAGACAGACAGACAGACAGACAGACAGACAGACAGACAGACGAGTGGACATGCAGCGGATAGATGGACAGGCTAGCAGACATACCCTAATATTTACATGTGTATGCAAAATAGAAGACAAACCAAGCTTACTCAGAAATACATAATTTATTAAATTAAATAATTTATATTTTAAATAAATACATTTGTATAAATAATATGATAAATAGCCAATACATACTGAACGGTATGATACTGACATATTATAGTCCAAACTATCTACTATGAATGGTAGTCATTGCATCACATACTCTAAATGACCAGCACGTGTACAAATCAAAACGTCTATGGTGTACATGGCTTATTGACGCCACGTTTTATTCCTCACTGTTCATGGTGATAACAACGAAGAACCAATATTCTCTTCTGCCCAATCCACATATTTTTGAAGATTGGTATAAATTCCAGGTTTGTCTTTCAGTGCACATCCATAGCCCCAGCTGGTGATGCCCACTAGATACCAGTGTCCATCAGAATGTAGACACACCAGTGGTCCTCCTGAATCTCCCTACACAGTGAATAAAACAATGACATTTTCTATATTATGTTGTAAAGGCTGATCAAAATGGATGCTTCTGGCATACTCTGCTGGTATGTTACATAATTATTCTGAAAAGCCTCAGGTCGGACATTTTTAATGTTCTTCTGTATCTCATTACTGAATTCACAAGTAGACTGATTAAGAAACAACATTGTTTGGTTGTTTATACATTTTTTTTCAGTTTTCGGTGAGGACGATACATAAAGTTCACTTGGAAAATATTTTCACCGAGGGGATCATGAATCAGTGAAAATACTTTTCCTCTATTCAACTCGTAAAAAATTGTGGAAAATTAACTTTGTACTAAATAGCCAAAATAGTGTATTTGACGGTACTCTAAACAGTGCATCATCATTATATATAATTGGAGTTACTTTGTAATCTGTCTTCATTATTTATTTTTTACTTTTTTGTTGTATATTACTGTTTATTTCTGTATTTATTTACTTAAGTCCTGTATTTTTTTGTTTATGAGTAATTTAAAAAAGCAAAACAAACAACAGTGCATCGTGACTACTTGTATACATGGTGCTTTGTTGAGAAAGTATCGTTACGACAACAATTAGCTTAATTTATATGTTAGGTACCGGTAACTCTAAACTCGTGTCAACCTGTCGTTTTTCTGAAAAGAAGTCTCAACGTCGACACATAATTGTCCAACCAAACAATATCAAGTTGTTGAATTGACAACACTCATAACTTGGTGAATAGAGAATTCATCCACAAAAATCTAATTTGTGCGAAATAAACTTGATAACTACACTGATGACTACACTGACCTGGCATGCATCCACCATTCCGTCCATATGTCCTGCACACAGCATATTATCATTCACATAACCCTCGTATGCACTAGGGGCATTACACACAGTCTTAGAAATTAACGGAACATAGGCTTCCTGTAAGAACTGTGACTGAGATCCCTCCACTGAAAGAAAGGAAAAGAATATCAATCCAATATATTAATAAAGTGCCAGTGACTGCTGCTTATCTGCACTTAATGATTTTGCATTTAAACAATTAAGTTTCTAGATTATTCTTAAAAATACTCTGACTTCATGTATATCCATTTTCTGGTGAAAACAAGTTCAGATAGAGTAAAGGCAAACCTTTAGACAATGTAGCCACTAGAAATAATATTTTTTTGACGTTCTTGTTGGCAGACTGAAGATCGATCACAAAGCTTTATGCAGTAAACAATTCATACAAAAATAAATCTATGCAACTTATCAACTGGGCTTGCGATCCCACCACAAAACAAGTGATTATCCAATCGCAGATGTGAATTCACATAGCCAACTTGTTAGTTTTGTCACTGCAGAATGTCTATGCAGCTCAGGTCAATGCTCTATAGAAGCAAGCCTGACTCTGCTAATCAGAATCAATCAGAATCAATCAAAGGCTGATTTGTTGTATAATATTGATATGGTGATGAGGTCAAACACAATCATATTTTAAATACGCATAATTATGCAGATTATGGTTACATAATTAGAAATTTAGGCGAGGGTTCTCCGAACCCGCCTATTTACATAGTTCATACCCACCATAGACTCCAGTCAGTCAAAATGACTATTTTGAACTGTAGGCATTAATCAGCGATTCTGCCGGTGACGGAGAGATAGATTCTAGGTCAGGGGAAGCCCCATGACCTCAAGATTCTTTTACCCCTTACGTCACGAACCCACGTGACCGAGGCCACATGGCAACACCATAGGTAGCCGTCCATCACTCTGGTTCCTTTATCTCCGCCTCGAGGACTTAGCAGTGGAGACAGCTCGCTCCGCCTGCAGGTGATCTACTCTGCCTGCCAGGGACGCACTTTGCCCTGACAGTCCTTCGACCAATGTCCTCGTCTCAGCGGCAAAACCGGCGCCGTGCGAGGATGAGTCCACAACGGGACCCATCGCGGGCCCCATAGGAGGAAAGACCTCCATAGGGCACAGCCTCGCTGTTGCCGGTAAAGTTGGGAAACCCACTGCCTGAAAAAACAGACTCTGTAGATGCCCTCCGATCAGCAGGGGGAGACCAAAAAAATCGGCACCCCCCACTATCGGGCCCTTTGCTCGGTATCCCGGTATGAGAACCGGTAACCGAGCGCGAGGACTTGTCATTCATGCCAACGCACAACTCACTCATACCATGGAGGTA